TCTTATTTTTAATTGATGAATATTGTCATTTACTTGAGAATAGCAGGCTGAAACTTAGCCAGTTGGAGCAGGAGCTCCAGCGTGCTCGCCAACAGGTATGGTCGTCGTGTACTCATCTTGTGTTTTTTTTTTTTTGATTCGACAAAATCTGCGACTCCTGTTCAACAAACTGTTTTTTTCAACATTTTGCTACATGTTCAGGGCATTTTTATTCCTACTACTCCCGGAGACCAGCCTCATTCAACTGGTGAAAATGGTGATTTACTATTTTTTTGTGTGAAATGTTTAGATCACGCTGGACAGTATCCTGAACTAAGCTGTTATCCGTATTTCTAGGTGCTTTGGTATTTGACATGGACTATGCATGATGCCAAGATGATCACAATAAGCAGATAAATGAACTGAGAGCTGCACTCAATGCAGACATGCCAGTGACGATGATCTTCGGATAGCATGCTGTGCGCAGACATTATTGTTTGACAAAAGGCCAGGATTCTGAAAGAAAATCAGACCTTGTGTAGGCTTGATTTGAGCACTTAAATAGTATATCTACAGCTTAATGCATTGTTTCTGTGTTTACAGTGAATGGATAATAAAAAATTCCGATCTTCTTCGTTATGGCGATAGCTACTACCCTTGATGCACCTAAGAAGCTGATCTCATCAGAGGCTCTTCAACGATTAGAGCCCTGCAGACTTACCTTAGGATCTCCCTCAGATAGAATGAATGGACTTGTAGAGGCCGTCCTTGTTAAAACATGCGCTGGATTCTGCATCAGTCATGAAGTTGCAATGTTCCTCAGAAATTACTTTTTTAGGCATGATGGAATCCTAAACCAGGATAGTAACGTGAAGAGAGGCAAAGGAAGACCGAAGTTGACTTGGGTAGAGGCAATAAAAGGAGACTTGAAAGGATGGAATATACCCAAAGACTTAGCCTTAGATAGGAGTGCTTGGAAGACAGTTATTCACGTGCCTGAACCTTGATTGCTTCTGATGGGTTTCAACTCTAGCCTACCCCAACTTGTTTGGGACTTAAAGGCTTTGTTGTTGTTGTTGTTGTTGTTGATGGAACAATTACTTCTTTTATTAGTGCTCTCAAGGTTGGTGCTTAATGTTACATTACTATTCCCTGCCCCTTTTAATGTTACCATTTTTGTTGTTTCTGTTTTCTCCATATACTGTGGGCATGCAGTAAACACTTTTCCATGGAACCTCTGAGCTTCTTGTGCATGGGAATGCTTGAGGAAGATTGTGAGGTTGCTGTTATTTCCTATTCTGAAGATCATACGATCTTAATTATTTATATGTTACTACTCATAACTGTAATCTAGCTTTTAGTTTCTCCTAGTCCTATATGCTATTGCCTATCCCTTTATTGCCATATTTAGTTTCTGACATCATTATGCAATTCTAACTTATGCTTCATGCACTACCCCTTAGGAATTTTGGCATGATAAGTTTGAAGCACTACCTCAAGGGGTGCGGAAATACGCTTTTGGCCTTCCTTCTTGTGAAAGGTATAAGACTATTTTTTTAAGATGTATAAGGTATAAGCCTTGACAACACAGTTTTAGAGCAGTATTATAATCTAATACTTTATTTGAAAATCTGCATCTTAGTGCTAAGAACTCATGCAATTCTATCAGCAACATAGTAGAAGGATTGTGTAAGCTGATGAAACTGCAGAAGTATTGGAGTTCTGTTGTCTTGGTAAGTTTTTGCTGCACTTGTCAATTGTTGTATTTTTACGTCAAATTTGTCAGTCATAGCGAGTTTGCAAGTGTACCCATTATGTCTAGGATATGCAGTACCTAATAAAACTTTGTAGAGCTAATTTGGTTTCTATGGATCTAACTTTATGATACAAACCCATTTTCGTCTTCTGAAATTTGCATATACAAACACATCTTGATTGTGTACTTCTATTTACACAGAGAATAAAATGAAATTGACAAAATACTAATATACATGTCTCATTCATTGTTGTTGTGATACAGTGCCTGTATGAAGCTGGGAGACATGACAAAGTGCAGCTTTTGGATATTTTCTGCGAGGCAGTCAACTCAAACCTTCAAATTCAAAATGCAACAAATAGTGATCCTTTCACCTATAGAGTGAATAATGAAAATTCATCATGATTAAAGTCAGGGTCTTTTAAAGTATATATAGCCAAGTAATGAATACAATAAGGTAAATGATAGAATTGTTTCAAAAAATAATGTACATGATGGAAACTGGTTTCAGATGCACAAATCTGCTTTATGACTATTGGAGGGATGTACTCCTGATTCTAATGGCCAAGGGATGAGGGACATCCTTGATAACCTGGGTTCGGTACCTGTTGCCTTATTTGGATAAGGAGTCTTTCCCTGACACCGCGGGGGAGGGGGCGCTAGAAAATATCTATCAGATTAGATTATTGACACTACTATTATGAAGCAAATGTGATGCCAAGATTTCTTTCTATGAGTCATGCATTACAACTGACTATTTTTTATTCACTCAAAAGTTAGTACATTTTGTTGTTAGGTTTATTCCCATTTGCAGTTATGTTATTTGTAAGGAGCATAAGATCGATTGAAATGTGTTCTTTTGGATCAGGTATCTGCCCATGGAAACTTTGTTACATGTCCTTGAAGTTTGGAGCATCCATTTAAAGGGAATGAGTGAGGTATGCTCATTTCTGCATTATTTTGTTCTGGAAAACAGTTCAGCATGCATACTAAACTGGGTTATCAGCTAATAGAGCTTCTTGTGTTCTTATTAATGTTCATTCATATTACATACTGTTTATGGGAAAATGCATATGCCATCCAGTGCCTCAATGTACCAAAGACTTTTAAGTCATTTTGTTTCTCTCAAGTAAACCACAAGAATTTATTTTTATCATTTTTATGCATTGCTCGGTAAATTCATTTAGGTTAAGCTTAAGCATTTTACTATTGTAGGTTTTTCTGCTTACAATGATGGCCTTTTCTGTTTCTGTTCATTCAAACAGGAAATATTTGGTGCCTGTTGAGTGTTTACCCTTTCATGAAATCATCTGCTTCAAGAATGTTGGCATTCTGCAGTCTGTAAGTTTTCACTGTCTTACTAGTGGGTTAAATTATCTGGTCCTGTTCTGAAAAGAAAACTTGTGTTAGCATGTAACATTAAGTTAATAATAGTAGTGAACCTCTAAAAGAACATTATCCTGATTTCAAGTGTTGCATCTCAAGCCAGGCACTGTCTGGAAATCCAAGAAGAATGGTTCAACTTGATCTACTGAAGTCACATGGCCATCTGAAATGCTCTTGTTGCAGTAGGAATGGAACTGCTGTAGCAGGATCCTGGCATGACACATCAATTATGTAAGTCCATATATCTATTGAATAAGCATTTGACTGATATTAAGTTGTTCTTGGAATATAAATGTTACTGCCCTATCATTTTAGAAACTATGGCATATGGTTTATTAATATTCCACCATCGTACAATTTAAATCAAATATATATGCTTTCAGCTTTATCAAAAAAAAAAAATCTATGGACCTGACTGCCAGGTAATAAGGAGTCCAGGGAACTTTGATTTATAAGGTTCTTCCATATCTCTAGAAAAAGTGAAGTGCACTATGTATCTTTAGTTAACCATGTCTAAAATACTGTCTGACACTCCAACTACACCCTATGAACAGTAATTGGTGCCAATGAGCTTTGCATCTATAGGTCCACAACCAGTCATTACAGCTTAAAGTTTGGAGGTCCTAAGACATGAAAAGAATAGAGATCCAGTTTTTTTTTAATAAACAATGGATATTAATGTTCACTTTGTGTGATAAGCTATATATTAGTTGCTGATATTAATCCCTTTTGCTTCGCAGTTGCAATCTAGCCCAAGAATATGGTGACGTAATTAACGTTCATGACTGGTACATATCCTTTGAAGAAATTGTCAACAGCACAAATTCAAAAGTCAAAAGGAAACCTTACAGTTCTCCATCGAAGAAGAAATCAAAATCCACACTACCGGAGGGTGAAGCGATGATCCAGTATCCTTGAGCTATAAGTTCTCCATGAATATATATGTTTTTTTAGAGCTTATGTGCTCCCCAAAAAATGGTCAAACAAAATTTTGAAAGATGATAAGAACTTAATTTGCAATCCACTACTCTGCTACTGACAATACTACTTTTGGGATTTTATATGGTTAGTTTGGAGAGCATTGGACTGGTATTTTACCCCAAAGGTATTGGTGTCGTTCGCTGGTCTGGAAGTTCCAGACCAGCCGGCTGGTTCCCCTCACATTTTACTGTTCATCAAACCAGCCGAACAGTGTTTCTCTCTCACACAACCAGCCAGTTTCAGCCAAGTTTCAGACCAGCGAACGGGGCCATTGTATTTATACACAATTCTAAGTTAGCGTAATCCTTGACACAGTGCCTTCCAGAGCAAGGTTCTGCAGAGCTGTTACTGAGATGCAAATCACTAGACTTCTTCGGATGCCAAGCAAGAGAAGGCCCGATCTTGTGCAGAGAATCACTTTTGGTCCGTAGATGTTGTATGGGGTTACATATAGTACATATAAAGAATGGTTTATCTCTGGGACCTTAGCATGTTATGTGAGCCACATGGGGTTCGCAGATGCTGACAATTTAGCAGAAAGCAATATCTGTATTTCTTTTTCCTTAACAAAATCTGTATTTCTTTAACGGCAGTAATTAACATGTAAGGTGATTTCCGTATTTATAATAGTATAAGACCATCGAGAGGGCATATCTTTTAGCCAACCCAAAGCATCTCAATGAGACATTGATGAGAAACGAAGTAGCAGGTATCAACAAGTAGCCACCTGGTAATAATACCACCATTTGCACGTCCTAGCCAACTGATGCCTCCACCAAATTTACAAAACTGTGCGGCGATCACTAAAATGAGAACAGTGCAAGTGTGGGCTCTCTATTTCTAAATATTACGCAAAAGAGCATGAAACTAAATGCTTCAGGATCACTGTAACAGTTGTTCAGAAGCTGTCATTCTCCTGCTGGGTGATGGTCAAAACAAGCCCAAAGTGGTCGCTTGGAAAGACAGGCAGCTGAATCTTTCGGCTCTCTTTCCGAATCTTCTTCTCCTTGGAATAGGAGACACCCGGTATTGCCTCCTTCCCGATCATCTCAATGCTGTCGATCTTGAAGTTTGCCAGCTTGCACAAAAACCGGTCCATTCGCTTCTGCAGCTTGCGGATGCCTGCCATCATGCCATTGGCCTTCGTGTCATAGGTCCAGCCATCTTCTCCAGGCTTCAGCTCAACCCAAGCATCAGTCCACCCATCCTGCAGAGGGAAGGGACCGTCTCCCTTGTCGTCCCAGTTCATGTCCCCACAGACTATGGCATTGGGGAAGCGTCCCAGATTTTCCAGGCATTGCTTTGCCTGATCCACACGTTCTTTGCTGTACATCTGATCCCACTTAGGAGGTGCAGGGCATGGGCTCTCTAGGTGGGTCGTGGCTAACATCAACTTGTTCATCTCTCCTGTGCTAACACTGGTGATGCATAGCTCTCTTCCCATTATTGAGTTCGAAAATGGGATTCGTTTAGATGCCTTCACTGGCAGTTTGCTCAACTGTAATTGTTGAGGTCAAAAGAAATCAGTAAAATGCTCAACTGTAATTGTTGAGGTCAAAAGAAATCAGTAAAAATAAATGAACTCTGATAAAAGGATAAACATTGCCAACCTCCCAATTTCCCATGGAAGGTCAACTTTGGATTGATCATATATTGAATATGAAACTATTGTAACTCATTCATTCATATTCTGCAGGCATATATAAACCAAAATGTGTCTTAGATGACATGAACAGTCAAAGAAAATATTTAGCAAATTTTTTGGGAATATTACAAATAGTTTTCCACACAGGTTCTATTACAAGAAATTGAGTGAAAGGCATTCATCCAGAAGTTGGAAATCATATCACACATAAAATTTGTTTGAAGAATTACCTGCATGCAGTAATACGTCATCTCAATAGCCTTCTCATATGACACACAGTTGTATTGTTGCCACCAGTCAGACTTTTGCAGAATCATATATATGTATGGTGTAACCTCCTGTCGTTCCACATATTAGATCCCACTAAGGATCGGAAAAGAAAATAACTCATAGCTCAGAGTGTGGACCTGGAAGCATATAAAGTCTGGGCTATTTTGCTTTATGAGATCCCCAAGAGCATCCATCCTTCTTATCACTTCCACATCTTCCCGGAGCCAGACATTGTATGTCATGATTTTGAAGGTCTTCTTATCCAAACAAATCTCAAGATTTCCTGTGGACAGACATTTTGATTTTCATGTGACCCTAGAAAACTAAAATGCATTAAAAAAGTAATAGTTTCAAAAATGGAATGAACTTTGAACTTGCATCACAACTAGCCAGTTTTGAAGTTTACGATGTACACATAGAACAGAAAAAATAAGGAATAGTTAAATGATTCGATTGGATAACCCTTCTACATGATAAACACTCCCTCCCTCCTTGTCATCAATGAACAACGGTGCTTCTACCACCAATACATTGTTCATTGTTGAGCATCTCCAGCAGTTCCCCAATACAACTATCCCAATATAGTACTAATGGGGCTACCCCAATACCTCTTTTCTGATTATTGGGGGAGATGCAGCAGTAGACTACCAATAATCTCCCCCAATATGTGGTACCCATCTGTCAGTTTATTTATTTTCCTTTTTTCCCTTTTTCTTTTCTCTCCCCTCGTTCATCCTCTCCCGCATTGGGACCACGATATGCGCCGCCGCCGAACCACGCCGCGGAAGTGAGTCCGCAACGCCGCCCGCAGCTCCCCACCGCACCGCCCGCCGCTTGCCCAGGCACAGCCGCCGATGGATGATGGGCCGACGCCGTCACGGGATCTCTCCCACACCGCATCGGGAGGCATCGACGCCGCCACTACCACACAACGCCGCCCACCGCTCGGCCGCTCCCCAGCGTGGAGCTCGAAGGCGACCACGCAGCGCCTCCTCCCCCACCGCTACGGCGTCCACCCCACCGCCACACAAGCGGGTGGCGATGTCTTCGGCCTAGGTCTCCGGCGTCCTCCGCCCAGATCAGCCGCACTCCTCGAGCTAGAGCGCCGCCGGCATAGATCGGCCGTGGAGCCTCGTCCTCGAGCTGGAGCGCCGCTCGCCCATGCAAATCATCCTCAAGCTGGAGCATCGGTCCAGCCATGGCGCACGGCGAGCTCCGGCATGGGCAGTGAGGAGAAAAGTGACAGTTATCGTGGGGCCCAACCTCTTGGGGGAGATGCAACCCCCCCTTCATTTGAGGGGAGATGGGCTGTTTTTTTGGTGGCCACCCAAAAAAAGGGGCATATTGGGGAGCCGCTGGAACAAGAAATTTGCCTCATCTCCCCTAATATGACAGTTTTATGGGGATTGGGGGACTGCTGGAGATGCTCTTTTGCATGTAAAATAGGGTACATTTACATTACATTCAGATATTTTTACAACACACATTTTGAAAGCAATTTGAGGGGAATCAGAAGTATCGCAGACCTTGTAACTTTGATCCCAAACTGAAACAATGGGACTAAAAAAAAATTCTCTAAAAAATATATACATAAATAAAAGCGGATATAAGTAACATAACATAACGCAGTGCAGTATTCGACAATAGGATCATGGCACGGCCCTAACGGAGGAAAGGAAATGCATAAATCCAGGACGCCCTGAAAGCCCAAGAAGCACAAGAACGGATCTACAGATAACGGGACGGGAAAATCGACCCCACTCACCCACGCAAACAGAAACATCCCTATCTATTATCTATCTACACGCCAGTGCAGTTGAGACTTGAGAGGGCCGCAAGCGAACCTTTCTTGGCGGCGGCCCCTTTCCAGCACTATCGCAGAGTTCGACCACATCCGGCGACGCATCGCGCTCCCTGCCCTCCCTCTTCCTCCCAAACCGCCGGGGTAGGGGAGACGCCCTGCGCTCCTTCTTCCTCCGGCCCCGCTTGGGCGAGGCCAACGCGAGGGCGGCGCCCACGACGACGGGGCTGTCGATGTCGACCTCCACTGGGAGCGAGGCCTCGCACAGCTCGCAGGAGTCGCATCCGTCAGGGTTGAAGAGCCCGCACCGGACGCAGCGCCAGGCGGCCGGAGGCGTCGGCGGGGAGCGGGAGGGGGAGGGCATGGTGTGGGCTTGGGGAGAACTGGGGTAGAGATGGAAGCGGAGGCGGCGCCGGAGTTAAGAGGAAAAGCCTGGTGGCTTTTTCGAATTCGAAATGGAGCGTGCTTTTTTTTTGGGAGGGAAAATGGAGCGGGCTTTCAACGGCAAGAGCACGGTCACGGGCTCACGGCTGATCTGAACCTTTGTTGACCCCCATCGGACGGATCCCGTTAATAGTCCATTGAGTTATGGGTAGATACATTTGATTTGTTTTGATTGAATAAAAAGAATGTCGAAGATCTTCTCCTATTTTGATGTACCGTTGTTGCCTTGCTTCAAAGGTTTAGGTCCCGTTGGATCCAAACGCCTCAAACTAAAACCCATCTAAAAGTATGTAAGGGGAATCCATTATCTCGTTAAATGTTCCAACCCAGCTAATAACAGCTAAAAGTGGCGAATGACAAAATTACCTCGTACTTTTTTCCACACGCCGCACGCTTGGGAGTTGGGACCACTCGACTGTGTGATAATAATTTCCTAGCCCACCATCGCACTTTTTTCTCTTCATAGTGCGCTCGCAAAGGTGAACCCTAGTCGCTGTCCACGCAATCTAGGCGCTACTGCAGCTGTGCTCCGATTCCCCTCCCCGCGCGGACACGCTACACGGAGAGCATGTTGGCGTGTCGTGCTTCAGTCGCCGCCACATGTCCAGCGAGTGCGCGAATGCAAACCGCCACAGCCGACGCCTAGGGCGATGAGCCTACCTAAGGCGGACTCCCTTTCCCCCTCCGGTTGGCCGTAGGCCCCTACAGGGAACTAGCCATGGCTGTCTCAACGAAGATGACTCTCTTTTCAGAAAAGCCTATGAGGAATAATGTAAGTATTATGCAATTTCTTGTGTCTGTTCTTTCTCGAATCAACCTCTACAAACATCAGATTTCTTCAAGTCTAATTCAAATCACTTTCACATCTAGAGCCCGCTCCCATGTGTTAGCGTCAATGCTGGCGCCAAAAAGGTAGCTGCTGGTGGCACAAACGGTTAAAAGCAATCGAATTAATGAGGGGTAGCATGCTCTAAAATGTCAATTAAGAATACCAAACAAACAATATGTGTCGGGGACCTAATACTGGGGTACCCAATGAGGTGGAGCTAATAACCATCAACGTTTGATGCTTCCAAACAGACAAGAACGCAACTACACTTCTTGCTCATACGACCGAAGGTTAGCCACGCCTCGTCCGGCCCTTGAGGGTTGGCTCCGTCTCGCCCGACCCCTGAGGGCTGGACTCCGCCTCGCCCGACGTCTGGGGGCATACACCGCCTCACCCGACGGCTGAGGGCTGGCTCCGCCCCGCCCAACGTCTAGGGGCAGACTCCGCCTCGCTCGACGACCAAGAACTGGCTCCGCCTCGCTCGACGACTAGGGACGGGCCTCACCTTGCCCGACCCCCGAGGGCTAGGCTCCACCTCGCCCGACGACTGAGGGTTGGCTCTGCCTCGCCCGACGTCCTGGGACAGACACCGCCTCGACCGATGGCTGAGGGCTGGCTCCGCCTTGCCCGACGTCTGGGCTGGGCTCTGCCTCGTCAGACGTCCGAGGGCTGGCCTCGCCTCACCCGACCCTCGAGGGCTGGGCTCCGCCTCGCCCAACGACCGAGGGCTGGGCTCCGCCTCGCCCGATGACTGAGGGCTGGCTCCGCCTCGCCCGACGTCCCAGGATAGACATCGCCTCGCCCGACGGCTGAGGGTTGGCTCTGCCTCGCCCGACGTCTGGGGGTGGGCTCCACCTCACCCGATGTCCGAGGGCTGGCTCTGCCTCGCCCGACGTCTAGGGGCAGACTCTGCCTCGCCTGACAACTAGGGACTGGCCACACCTCGCCCGACCCCTGAGGGCTGGGCTCTGCCTCGCCCGACGACTGAGGGTTGGCTCTGCCTCGCCCGACGTCTCGGGATAGGTCCGCCTTGCCCGACGTCCCGGGGCTGGCTCCGCCTTGCCCGACGACTACACCCTGCTCCTTCATAATGACGACCACAGGGTAAGATAGGACATTCGAGTCAACCGCAATACCGAGGACCATGCCCTACACGCCTACAGGAAAGTGCCATCAGGATACGACGGGACGGGCGCTTTAAGCCCTTCCAGGCATGATAGAGCCTAAATAGTGTTGTAGGCACCGACTTCTATCATACAGTGTTGTGGGCGCCGCCATCAGCCCTTGGGCGCGGATCCTAACATAAGCATACGACAACCGCTACAATCTAGGAGGGAACTCACATCATCTACAGTAAAGGACGTATGGTCACTTCCCCGTCTGCTCCTCGTAAGGTCACGGCTCGGCGCCCTAGCACGCCGCATCATCCGCCGGAGTAGGATGGGACATGATCACTAGCTGACCGAAGCCAGAGCATGGCCCTATCAGGATCAACAAACATGCTATCCCTGACACCGTCTACCATGTCAGCTGGGTAGGCTCAAGGGAAAAGGAAGACCCAGCGCCTTCGAATGACCTTCTCTACCTCTGGTTTTTCCTCTTTCTCCCATCTGTAACCCCTGCTCCCCCTTGGTCTATAAAAGGGAAGGCAGGGCACCCCACTAAGGGGACAGATCAATTTCACACACAACACATCACACGACACACAACCAAGCAGCAACCGAGCTCTTGGCATCCTTTTGACCTTTTCATCGGAGACTTGGGACATGTTTCTCTCTCGACCATTTGTACCCCCTACTACGAACCTTTTTCGGTGCCAGTATAGGGCTTTATTTTTCCTTTGGCCATACTATTAAGGTGGGTATGGACTAGTAGCTTGACCTAGGTGAGTCTAGTGGGTTAGGTGTGGTGCACACTTGTTAAAACTAGCACTAGGTAGCTCAGGAATGGCCCTAAGATCAATTAGAGCAAACTTCATTCACATAGGATTTCGAGTTGGAAGTGAATGGAGGGTCAAATGACTGACCGGACGCTGGTCTGGTTGTGACCGGACGCTGGAGGGTGAGTCCGATCAGTTCATTTGATCAAACTGAAGCCGTCTAGTTATGACCGGAGGCTGAGTGAAAAGTGACTGAACATTGGGTGCTAGAGTCCGGTCAACTCCAAAGAGGTTCCAGAGAGGGAGTTTCCTGATCGGACGTGTCCAGTCAGTGCTGACCGGACGTTGGTCAGGATCCGGTAACTGATCGGACATTGAACAGCGAAGTGACCGGACTCTGGGTTCCAGCATCCGGTCAACATCAGTAAGGTTCTAGAGAGCGTTTTTCATGACCGGATGCGTCCGATCAGTGCTGATCGGACGCAGGTCAGAGTCCAGTCAGAACTTAATGGCTCTTTCTAACACAGTGGCGGGGATAACTGATCGGAGCGTCCGGTCACCCTGACCGGAGCATCCGGTCACCCCGCAGAGTGCTAACTCAGCCTCCCAATGGTTTGTTTTGAATGAGGGGGTATAAATACTTCCTCCACTCGTCAATGGGAGGCCTCTTGCCCATTTGTTCAGCTAAGAAACACCCTTGAGAGTGCAAAGGAGAGCAAGAGCCTAGTGAGGTGATTGAGATTTGAGAATCCAAGATTAAGGCCTCATTAGTGTAAGGAGAGTAGCAAGTGTGCATCCACCCTTCTCATTAGGCTTATTGTGGTCAAGTGAGAGTTTGTGCTTGTTACTCTTGGTGATCCCCATCACCTAGACAGCTTGGTGGTGATTGGGAGTTTGGTGATCATCCGGCGGAGCTTATGGATGACCCATCTCAAGTTGTGAGCGGTCGTGGTCGATTCACCACGACGGAGTGTCGAAGAATCAGCCCATAGAGAGCACTTGATCCTTGCGCGGATCAAGGGGGAGCTACACCCTTGCGCGGGTGCTCCAACGAGGACCAGTGGGGAGTGGCGACTCTCTGATACCTTGACAAAACATTGCCACGTTCCTTTCCCTCTCTTTACTTTAAGCATTTACATTTGAGCAATTCATTTCATGTCTTTACATTCCTAGAATTGCCATACTAGAGTAGGAATGGAACTTAGGGTGTAAAACTTTTGTGCGGTAGAACAATAGAATCACATTCTAGGCACAAGGGGTGAAGTGGGCTAAGTGTAGGACTTAATTATTGCAAAGAATTTAGAATTAGCCCAATTCACCCCCTCTTGGGTATCTTGATCCTTTCAATTAGTATCAGAGCCTCGTACTCGCTAAATTAGGCTTAACCACCAAGAGAAAGATGTCCCACGGGGATGGACCTCCTCCTATCTTTGAGGGAGATGATTTTCCTTATTGGAAAATTCATATGGAGGCTTATTTAGAAGCTTTAGATGTTGAAATTCTTAGAGCCGCCTCATAAGGCTTCCCAAAACCTAAGGATCCCACAAACCTTCAAGGCGATGAAGTAAATTATGAGAAATGGAATACAAAGGCTAGAAACACCATCTTGAGAGGCCTTTGCAAAGATGTGTTTAACCGTGTGAGGAACCACAAGGACGCCTATGCACTATGGTCAGATATTTATGCGCTCTATGAGGGAACAAAGTGTGAGCATGAGGAACGCTATCATCTTGTTATGAAAAAGCTTAATTCATTTGAGATGCTTCCCAAAGAAAGTGCTAATGAGATGTACTCACGCTTGAATGTGCTTGTAGAGGAAGTCAATGGGCTTGGACTTACATAAATGCAACCATCCAATGTTGTAAGGAGGATCTTGAGTGTCCTCCCCATTGATAAATATGGGCATATTGTGACGGTGCTTCATCAAGGTGATCTTTCCACCGCTACACCAACAAATATTGGGAAAGATCAATGCACATGAGATGTATATGCACATCACACCACAAGATGGCTCTTCTTCCACCAAGAAGAAAGACTTGGCATTCAAGGCTAGCCAAGAGAACAAGGGCAAAGCAAGAGTTGAACATGAGAGCTCAAGTGATGATGAAATTGATGATGCAAGTCATGCTCTCATGGTGAGAAGAACCGCCAAGATGCTTAAGAAGCTCAACAAGAACAGTGTCAAGTTTGATGGCAAGAAAAAGAAGTTCTT